AGGATCCTAGAATACTCAAATTGATATATAGTCCTACCCGCAAGAAGCTCAGCCTTTCCATTTACAACAGCATTAAAAATAAAATGAGAGATACATTTAACAAAATTTTACAAGACTTGTTCATTGAACATTTAGAAGTATCACCAAAATAAAATTTAAAAGATCTACATATATGGAAGGCATACCATGTTCATGGAATGGAAGACAATATTGTTAAAAATGTTAAGACTCCCCAAATTGATTTACAAATTCAGTGGAATCCCTATCAAAATTCCAGGTGACTTCTATACAAAAATTGAAAAACTTATCCCAAAATTTATATGGAAGTGCAAGGAGCCTAGGTCAGCCAAAACAATCTTGAGAAAGTAGAGCAAAGTTGGAGGACTCACTTTAAAGGATACTAAAAAGCTATAGTAATAAGTCAGTATGGTACTGGCATAAGTTTGGATAAATAAATCTATGAGACACAATAAAAACCCAGGGGGAAATAATTTACATTTACAGTCAGTTTTCCACAAGGGTGCCAACAACACTCCATTGAAAGAATAATCTATTCAACAAATGGTGCAGGGACATCTGGCTATCTACAGGCAAAAGAATAAATCTGGAAACTGGCCCCCATATTTTATATAACAAATGAAAATTAATTCAAAATGGATCACAGACAGAAACCTAAAAACTAAACCTATAAACTTTCTAAAAGAAGACACAGTATAAATCTTTGTGGTCCTAGGACATGCTTTGGTTTCATAGATACAATACGAAGACCACAAGTAATAGAAGAAAAAAGCAGATAAACTGGACTTCATCAAAATTAAAACCTTTTTGTTGCAAAGGACATCATCAAGAAAGTGAAATGACAGGGGAAGGGGGTATCTCAAGTGATAGAGTGCATGCTTAGCAAGAAAAATAAAATAAATAAATACATCTAATTACCTCCCCTGTTAAGAAATTGTTTTAATGTTTAAAAAAACTAAAGGGAAAGGACAATCTACAGAATAGGAGAAAAATTTTGCAAAGCATATATCTAATAAGAGACTCGTATTCAGGATATATAACAAATGCTTACAACTGAATATTACAAATACAATCGACCCAATTTTTAAAGTTGCCAAAGATTTAAATAAATACACAAATGGCCGATAAGCATATGAAAAGAAGCTCAGTATTACTAGCAAAATCAAAATCAAAATGAGATCTCATTTTACACTCACTAGGACAGTTATAATCAAATCACGGACAATAACAAGTGTCGTTCAGGAGGCAGAGATACCTCATATGTGGCCAGTGGAAAGGGACAATGGTGCAGCTTCTTTGGAGAAGTCTGGTGTTTCCTAAAAACTTTAGAGTTATATGGCTCAGCAATACCACTCCTACATGTAGATTTATCCCTCAGTATCCTCGTGGGGTTGGTTTCAGGAACCCCCCACCATGGATTCCATAATCCAAGGATGTTCAAGTTTACAATCAGCCATCTGGATTCATGAAGTGGAAACTACAGATATGGCGGGCCAACTGTACAGCCAACAGAATGAAAACATATTCTCACAAAAACTTGCACATCAATATTCATAGCAGTATCATTCAGAGTAGCCAAAAGTTACTAACAATATCCATCCATCAATGAATGGATAAACAAAATTACCAAGAATAGGCCCACAAACTTTTGGTCATTGAATCTTTGACAAAGAAGGTGAGAACACACAATGGAGTAAAGACAGCCTCTTCAGCAAATGGTGTAGGGAAAACTGGACAGCTGCATGTAAATCAATGAAGTTAGACTACTCCCTCACTGCGTACACAAAAATAAATTCAAAATGGCTTTAAGACTTAAACATGTAGACAAGACGCTATAATCCTCTTAGAAGAAAACATAGGCAAAACATCTGACATACATCTAAGCAATGTTCTCCTAGAGCAGTCTACTCAAGCAATAGAAATACAAGCAAAAATATACAAGTGGGATCTAATTAAACTTACGAGCTTTTGGACAGCAAAGAAACAGTAAGCAAAACAAAAAGACAACCTATAGAATGGGAGAAAGTATTTGCAATAAATGAGACTAACAAGGGCTTAATTCCCAGAATATATAAAGAGCTTTTACACTTCATAAGAAAGAAAAACAAACAATTCAATCCAAAAATGGGCAGAAGACCTAAAGAAAAATTTCTCCAATGGAGACATAC